CTGCTGTAAGTATGTGAAAGCAGCAGCCACGGCCCTATACATAGCCATGGGGTGCGTATACTACAATCTGGTTCTAGTTTCAGGCCAGTGTCCATGGCCACTGGGATGGTGGTCAGTCTAAATGGTGGCTTTTTTTAGTCAGATGAATGTTTAGGAATCCAGGACACTTGCTGTAAGACATGGGGTTTCTAGCTAGCTATGGTGAGGATAAGCCTGGATGTCTTTAGGACTAGGGTTTGCATGGGCTAACCTGTGTCCTGCTTCTTTGTGTTCTACTGGCCCCTATTAGCCAAACTGTAGCTACAGAAAAAAACAACCAATGGTCTGGTAGCACTTTATAGACTAACACCACATGTAGATGGGATCATGAGCTTTCGTGGGCACAGCCCACTTCTTCAGATGAGTGGAGTTTTGAGTTTAGGATGTGCAGACCAAAATAAATAGGAGAGAAGGGAGGGGGAGGAAAAAAAGGAGAGGGGTAGGAGACAGGGAGCTAGAGGGAATCAGTAAGTATCTGAAGATTGGGTAGTTAAAACAAAGCAGATAAGAATCAAAAGTCAATTGATAGTATCCTTCCTGACATAGGAGTCCACACAAAGATGAACCATCGTTCATCAGGATGGAGTCCATTAGCATGTGAATTGAATTTGCGGATGAACTCTAATTCTAATGTTTCTCTGTGTATCTGGCTAGTAGAACTGGTTTGTGACAAGACAGCCACTTGAAGATCTTTTAAACAGTGATTAGGAAGATTAAAGTGTTCCCCAGTAGGTTTCTGTATGTTTCCTTTACGTATATCAGATTGGTGTCCATTGATTCTTTGCCACAAATACTGTCCAGTTTGTCCAATATATATAGCAGTGGGGCATTGCTGGCATAGATCAGATTACTAGATGTGCAGTCAAATGACCTTTGATTTAGTAGCTTATGTTGTTGGCTCCAGTGATAAATTCGCTAGTATAGATATGTGGGCAGAGTTGACATCGTGTTTGGTTGCAGGGCTGGACTCCTGGCTGCTTATGATGTGGCTGTGTGGCATGGTTACTGGAAAGAATTCGTTTCAGGTTGGGGGGTTGTCTGTAAGGAAGAATAGGCTTTTCTCCCAAGGCCTCAGAGTGAGGGATCATGTTCCAAAATGGGTTGTAGATTGTGTATATTGTGCTGGAGGGGTCTGAGTTGTGGACTATAGGTAACAACAAGAGGAGTTCTGTGATTTTCTCTTTTGGGTCTATCTTGAAGTAGTTCATGTCTGGGTACGTTTTTGGCTCTGTCAATTTCTTTTTTCACTTCTCCAGGAGGGTATTTCAGTTTTAGGAATGCTCTGTAAAGATCCTGTAGGTGTTTGTCTCTATCTGTGGGGTCGGAGCAAATCCGGTTGTACAGGCAGTCCCCGGGTTACGTACAAGATAGGGACTATAGGTTTGTTCTTAAGTTGAATTTGTATGCAAGTCGGAACTGGCTCCCGGTTAAATTCATTGAGCCATGTCTAACTCTGCTTTTTACAGACTACTTCCAAATTCTTTAATACGAGTTCCATGTGTGGAAAATAAGTTTTTATAGAACCATAGAAATGTAGAGATGAAAGAAACCTTGAGAAGTTAAGTCCAGCCTCCTGCACTGTGTCAGAGCCAAGTGAACGTTGACCATTCCTGATATATTTGTCCAATTCGTTTTTAAAAGCTTCCCATGATGGGAGACTTCGCAATCTCTCTCTGAAGCCTACTCCAAAGCTTAAGTACTAGGGATATAAGCAACTAGTCAAGTACAGGCACTCCCTGACTTACGCGGATCCGACTTATGTCGGATCCGCACTTACGAACGGGGCTGTTCTCGCGCCGGAGCTCACGTGTCCCTGGTCTGGTGTCCCTGGTCTGCTGGGGGGGTCCAGCGACTTTGCTGGACCCCCCCAGCAGACCAGGGAGACCAGGAGAAGCTTTTCTCGGCCCGGAGGACACGGGTGGCGACCCGCTGCCCGTGAGCTCCGGGGCGAGAAAAGCCCCGTTCGTAAGTGCGGATCCGACATAAGTCGGATCCGCGTAAGTCGGGGACTGCCTGTATCTTAGGGCTTGGCTATATACAATAGACTGAGAAATGTGTCTGGGATGGAAGCTGGAGGCATGAAGGTAAGTGTAGCGATCAGTGAGTTTCCGGTATACGGTGTTGGAAATGTGTCCATTATTTAACTGTACTGTAGTGTCCAGGAAGTGGATTTCTCGTGCGGACTGGCCCAGGCTGAAGTTGATGGTGGGGTGGAAGTTGTTGAAATGCTTGTGAAATTCTTCAAGTGTCTCTTTTCCGTGGGTCCATATGATGAAGATGTCATCGATGTAGCATAGGTAAAGTAGCAGTGTTAGGGGGTGAGAGCTGAGGAAATGTTGTTCAAGGTCAGCTATAAAGATGTTGGCATATTGTGGTGCCACGCGAACGTCCATAGCTACAGAGCAGGCTCTAACCAACATCCTGCCTGGGGCTGCACAAAACGGAATAAAATGGATAGTTTCCATAGCCCACATGTGGCATGGTAGTGTATCCACAGACAGGGTACAAGGACAGCTCCATCTTTCCTAGTCACCCTCCCCTGTCAACTCCACAAGCTGCATTCTCTCATTAAAAACAGGGGCAGGCACAGGCAATACCACAGAGCGTTGTGGGCTGCACTGCTCCTATGGGCACTTTCTGGGTCCACACTGCAGAGGAGTTGATTGCTAACGGAGCCACAGAACAGCCCACATAACCATGGTGCAGCTGCCATTTGGAGCATGTGTGCTTAGGGTGCCTATGATCCAGCCCAATGACAGTGTCTCAGCCCAGGCATTAGGAGTATGGGGACTGTTGAAGAACACGGCCACATTTATAGATGTCTTAGGAGCACGAGCGTTGGAGACTATCTTTGCATCTTCCGAGAACCCAAGCTTGCTTGGTGCTTCCCACCACCACCTGAAAAGTCGAGGACAGAAGGCTTATGTTTGGGATTTCCTGCATACATCCCAGAGAGAACAGGAGGAATGTGGGATTGATGACTAGAATGGTTAGAGACTAGACTAGGAAGGCCAGACCCCAAAGCCCTGAGAGCCCACTCTCCCTCACTGGAAGGCATTAAATAGGGCTGAAGAACTGTTAAAATGAACCTAAATAATTTTTTCAGTGATGGCCTGCCCAGGATACTACACACCTACCCTTGCCTCTATTCAAGCCCTGCACAACATAACAGCTCATTTGCCATCAAGACTGCTTTTGGACAGAAAATTGCAGGGATCAGCTAAAAGACATTTTCTTAAGAATGGTCATACTAGGACCAACAGTTCATCCAGTCCAGTATTTTGTCTGCCACCAGTGGCCAATACCAGACGCCCCAGAGGGAGGGAACACAAGAAGTAATCCTCATGTGATCCCTCCTCTGTCACCCACCTCCAGAGAAACAGAGGCTAGGGACACCATTCCTACCCATCCTGGCTAATAGCCATTGATGGACCTAACCGCCATGAATCTAGCTCTTTTTTCACTAGAGGTGTCTGCTTTCTACCAAAAAACTTAACGTCCTACAAATGATTGGGGATGTGGCCCAGTCAGGGTCCCAGCTACAGGGAGAAGGGTGGCACAAAGGACCTAAACTACAATTCCCAGGAAGCTCTATGGCTCCATTTCCACATTGGAAAATGTCACTTTTCAGCCAAAGCATTTCAGTTTTCCATTTTTTCACTAGAAACTCAAAATTTTCCTTAGAAATAGACCTTACTTTCAATGTACTCTGTGGCACTGCTCATCCTGCCCAATTCATGGCAGAGCAGCGAAAGCCAAGCAAGGATGTTGTAGTGTGAGGCATCTCTCACTCAGTCAGAGCCTGCTGTGTCTGAGCTGCTCTACTTCCTTTCAAAAAGGCAGGCACCAGCTTTCGGACAAATTGGCCTAGGCTTAGAGCCAAGAAACAGACAAGGGACATCAAAAGTCAGATGCCCAGTAGAGAGGGCTCAAAGTCTGTCTTTTGCATGTTTAGCGCACAATGGTTGCCTGTCTCCGGCACACGAGCCGCAATATAGAGAACAAAGGCATAACTACATGTTATATGGCTCCCACATAAATGGCTCTCTCTGATGGCAGCACTCTAGCCTCCTCCCCAGGCACATATACTCGGTAGAAATGTGATGTTGGGATTCCTTCCAAGAACTTTTCCGTTCAGCTTACACAGAACACCTTGTCCAGTTTCATCCAGTTCTCGGAGATCCAAAACACTCAGTTCAACTCTGGATTTGATCACTCCAGTTCCTTAATTTGGGTACAAAACAGCTACTGATCAGACTCAAGCATAGGGTGTGGGTAAAGGACATACACAACACATCCAAAATTGTCCAGCCCAGTGTTTCTTAACCAGTGGTACGAGTACCCTTAGGGGTACTTGAGAAAAGCTGGGGGGGAGGGGAGGTGTCAACAACTGAAATTTGGAGAAAACTGAATTTTTGTTTTAAGTTTTATAGCGCTTTATTATTTTTGTACTTTTTTTTTTAAACACACAAAAGTGTCATCACCTGCCTGGCTACAATTACATTTAAACAAATGTGTTGCAATGGTAGACAAAAAATGTGTCTCTGAAAACTGTAGGTACTGGGGGTACTTTTTTTTTTTTTTTAAATAAAGATTGAGAAACACTGGTCCAGACAACCTCTTCCTTTATGGATATTAACATATGACATTGCATTTTCTATACATTACATCACATGTTTATGGCTTGGCTTTGTTGCTTAGAAAGAATCAATCCCCTTCCTGCATTCTCTGCCTAAGCACTGCTCACATGGAACCTGATCTTTATGTTCCAGGTTTACCTTGTTCAGCATACTGTCTGTCAAGCTCCTATTAACCACTTAACCTTCCATTCACCATCCCATGAAGAAATGAGGCAAGTTACCTATTTCGAGCCAGGACTATCCAATTAGTAATCATTGCCCAAGGACACTTGCGTCTACTCTCCAGCCTTCTGTTCACTCTTACTTTCTGTCCCTCTGCAGAGCGAAGGAGATCAAGACCAAATTGGGCACCCTCCTCCAGAAGCCTGATTCGGCTATTGACCTGATCATCCCATACCCAGAAAAGCCGGAGAAGCCAGCCAAGGCTCAGAAGTGAGTACTTCACCATTAATCAATGTGGGCTTCGTCAGACACACAAGATATGGGTCATTGGAACCAAGCAGAATGGCCCCTCACCCTGATCTAGCCTGGCTCAAGGAGCATTTAACTTGGGGGAGGACAGGAGAAGAGGCAGAGGCTGCTTGCTTGATGCTTTTCATTTAAATTTTCAAATCAATTGTCTAATCTAAACAGAATGTCCTGGCCAGGTCCCTGAGGGGTAATTCCATGCTCCTCACCATGTTTCTTGCTGTTCCAGCTGGCTGTGTCCTTCTTAATTTCTTTGCTGACACCCAGCTGCAGTTTAAGAAAAGGGCAATGGCCCCTGGCCTTAGTCTAGCTGCAGTTGGTGCTGAGCTGCTTGTAAAATTAGGCACCTAAGAGGTTGTAATTGTCTGTAGAATCTAATAGAGAAAGGAAG